AGTATTTTAAAATAATTGCCCCTTTGTACACTTGTTTATTTATTGTATTATTTATAATTTAACTATTTGGTTTTAATTTTAAAATTTTTATCTTTATACCAAAAATGAAACAGCTTATTGCGAAAGTAAACTTTGCAGTAAAAGTGTTCTGTAACGTCAAATTATATTATACAACACATCATTTGGGAATGTTTTTTTTTTACTTTGCGCTATAATTGCACTTCGAAAGTTGCACAATTTTTGGTTCAATTAACCGGGGAATCAAATAATAAGCGATACTCGTTTAATTGAACAATTCGTTAAATTCTAGGAAACATGCCTTAATGGACAACCTAATCAAGTAATAAAATATATGCATGTGTGCACATTAAGTATTTATTTAGTTTTTAGTAATGATATTTAAATAATACTTTGACCTTTAAACGGAAACAAAAAATTGAAACCAAGATAATGTACTCATATGTACATATATTTAGAGATCATTGTTATGGAAACAAAAATTAACTTAGTTAACAAAAAAAATCATATTATTGTATATATGCGTTCACATATTTAGAGATCGCTGCTTACATTTAAATGTTAATTTGAGAAGTCTGTAATATTTGTATATTATTCAATCTATGTGAAAAAATATAGCTATTCAATATTCCCTAATTCACACAAAAACTTGTTTTCTGAAAAAAAATATGTTTGAAATTAGTTTTATTGTATGCATTTAAAAACTTCGAGAACTGACGGAGGCTTCAACATATGTAAACACTAGATTTGCAGATATGCTAACTGCTGCTTATCACAAATGCTGCGAAATATGTATGTGCGGCAATGCCAGATTATTTTTTAGCGAAAGTTTTTTGTGCTACTAACCGGGCGAAATTAAAGGTATATTTTTTTGTTAATAACACATATTATTAACCAATTATGCGAGAAAACCTATTAACCGTAACCGTCACACTAACGTAGCAAGCACAATATTGACTTCTAAAGCTTAAATAGAGTATCTTTTATTGCTAAAGACTAATACCTTCAAATAACCCCACAAGTAGTAGTCGAATGGTGTTAAATCACAACTTCTTGAAGGCCATTCGAAGTCACAATTTCTTGAAATTATCGAATGTCCAAACTTTTCTTGCAATTAATCGATTGTTCCGCGTGCAGTGTGGCACGTAGCCCCGTCTTGTTGGAACCAGATGCTGTCAAGATCAACTTCTTCCAATTGCGGCCATAAATCTATATCTTCGATCTATACTGCTCTACATTAATAGTAATGGTGTCACCAGCTTCATTTCCAAAGAAGTACGGACCGATGATTTTACCAGACCAAAAACTACACCAAACTGTCAATTTAGGTGAATGTAATGATTGTTAATGAATACTTTGTGGATTTTCTTCGTACCAGAACTGACAGTTTTGTTTATATACCGCACCACACAGACGAAAGTGAGCCTTATCAGAGAAGACGATTTTCTTAAAAACAATCGTTATTGCTTTCAAATTGTTCCAAGGCAAAGTCAGCAAATTCACGACGTTTGCGGTAGTCCAATGGTTCTTGAGAGAAAACCATTTTATACAGATGCAAGCCCAAATCTTTTCTCAAAATCCGCTAAGTTGTGGTTTGAGATAGTCTCAATTCTTGAGAACGTCTTGGAATCGACAAATTGCGATCTTCAGCAACACTTACCTGAACGGCAGCAATATTTTCATTTCTTCGAGCGGTTTTTTGCCTTCTTGGCACTTGAATAATGTTCGTAAAGGAAATGTACTCTCGAAATTTTCAACACTTCGACGAATAGCGAGCACAGGTGGACGATTATTACGACCATAAATTGAATAATTTGTAAACGTTGTTCTTGCGTATATCTTTCCATGATGAAATTGTAAACATAATTTAATATAATACAATGAAAAAAAACAGAACATGACATATTAAAAATGGCCGAAATGACACTTAGAAATCATCCCTATTGGAAAACCCGATATTAGGCAACTATCGATTTCCAAGAGGGCTGAACAACATGACCATTGCTGCCCCCAATAATGTGGAAATGGTTCAAGTTCCGTGAGAGAAATATCAGATGCATTACCACTAGAATGGTTCGATCAATTCGCATCCTTTGATTTTGAAACATGACCAATCATTAAAACGTTCACAAGAAGTATATTTGCATGGCCATTGAAACAGCATAAGCATATCCACTATTTTCATTATTGACTCCTCATCGACGACTATTGAGATAATGGGTTGGGAAAGCTTACCTGACTGGACTTGATGTCCGTTGCGCAGCAAACTGCCAAAAGTTGTACCAGCATTAGGTTGACTCGGTGGAGCACACCGAGATTAATTCAGATTACCTAGCTAGCAGTTTCTGCCTTGGATTTTACCCAATTGTTGGTCAGTTTGCTTGTAGGCTCTACAGCTTCATAGGATTAAATGGCCTCTTCTCCATAGTGAGCACAGCAGAGGCAGCGGCTTTAGTGCAGTCGGTTGATTGATGGTACAGTTAACAAATCTAAAAGATTAGTTGCAGAATATCTGCGTGTGCCCCAACCTTTGGCATCTATGACGCTTGACTAAGTCATCAAATTTTGTTGGCGATATAAAACAACTGCACGACGAGCCTTTTGACATCAGTAATGGATAAGTAGAATCCCCTAGCTATTGGGATGATGAAAATAGTGAATCTTCCTGAATGGAGAGATAGAGAATAGTAGTTCGGGCTTCATACATACTACTAAAGTGCCCCCCTACTACATGCCGAATTATTATTGCTGATCGCATACAACGTGTGCCTTTATGGAATAGATTCGATTTTTTTAATTAAGCTGAATAATTAACAACCCGCTTCACTAAGTTTCAATTCAGTACCGTTAATGTACCCTATGCAGTACAGTATCTCATTTTTATATACAGAACAGGGTATATTAAGTTTGCCACGCAGTTTGTAACACCCAGAAGGAAATGTCGGAGACCCTATAAAATATATTATATATATAAATGATCAGCATGATGAGCTTAGTTGATTTAGCCATGTCCGTCTGTCCGTCCATCTGTATATATTCAAACTAGTCCCTCAGTTTTTAAGATATCGATCTGAAATTTTGTACCTGCCCTTTTCTCTCTAAGAAGCTGCTCATTTGTCGGAACGGCAACAACGTAATCTCCGAAAAACTTGAACAGATCGGATGACTATAACATATAGCTGCCGTATTAACTGAACGATCGAAGTAAAGTCCTTGTATGGAAAACTTTTTCATTTGACGAGGTATCTTGATGAAATTTGGCATGAGTTATTTTCTAAGGCAACAATATAATCTCCGAAAAAATTGTTTAGATCGGATCGCTATGTCATACAGCTATCATATAAACTAAACGATCGGAGTAAAGTGCTTGTATGGAAAAAAATTTTATTTTTATTTCCGATTCACGAAATTAGATCTGAATAAAGTTATTGTACGGAGCCTTTGTATCTGTGAAGGGTATTATAGCTTCGGTGCAACCGAAGTTAACGTTTTTTCTTGTTCATTGTTTAAACGATTTTTTGTCTTTCATCAGCACAGGTAATATATTAAGATTTTAATTCCAAAAAAGACGAAAATACTCACTTTGTGATCGATGAACGCTTTAGTTTCACCATCCCCTACTCTAAACAATGGAATTTCGAATCGCCGCTTTTTCACAATATGAACTCAAACGGGTTAAATTTATAGCTAGCTGGAGATCTACAGCATATTTCCTAATGGTTTGAGCGTTGGTAAACTGTGAAAATTAAGTTTCCCAATTTGGAAGCTTTACAAAATTAAAACCTTAAAACCAGCGGATAGGAATAAAAGACGGAGCTTGGCTTTTGATATCTCCAAACAACTGACTTTATTTTCACTTATTAACTCCAGTCTATTTGAGAATTGTAGAAAGGCTTTAAGCTCACTGGCAGGTCAACTCCACGTGTCCTTAATTTGAGTTCCCGTCCACATTTTGGATAACGAAAAAGCAGACGAGTTGGCCAAACTAGGAACCTATTTAGATGAATCCGAAGCGGAATTAATACCATGTGGACTGGGAACGATTAAAAGAAATTTCCGCGAATCTCCATATAAAGAGAAGACGAAAAATAGTGGCATATGAAATTGTGCTGCCAAATGTGTTGAGTCCACACAATGGAATGTCTAGTGGTCGGCATTCTTACACATTCAAACGTTTTATTTTTTGATAGTGTATGCGTGTGGACAGCGACTCACTCTCTCAGTGGTACGTTTTTCAGTTCAAGTGTAATTAGAACCATCACTAGTTTCCTTTAAATTGTTTTGTATGAAAATTGTGTGCAAAATATTTTCTAAAGCTGCTTTTGCATCTGACACTGTTTTGATACGGACAGTTTCCAGCATCACCAACATTTCGCCCTTTCGTATCAAACCAAATTAGTTAAAAGTTACACCCCTAATGGCAACGTAGAAATTAGTGGTTCTCTTTTGTTTTCAGTTGAATTCAATTTTTCATAATGTATAAACTCAAAACTAAAATCTAACTTTTAAAAATAACCTACCTATTTATAAATAAATGTATTCGACTGTAATTTTGAGTTAGTTTAAGAATAATTCATATATATTGAAGTTGAAGACTGGCGACCCTGCGTTGCAAGAGAGCAATCAGAAGCCTCGTTTCTACGGCAATTTTCGCGGATATCGTACCGTACGGTCTGTAGGAGCGGTGGTGAGTGTGCATTTATATTGCGCTTTCATGAGATAGGTCGTATCAGCTGGTTCGGTCTACGGTTTTGCATCGGTGACTGTTTCCAACGTAACTGAAGCATTAAACACGAAGCGAAGAAACGAAGGGGTATGCCACGCTTTACTTTCAATGCTTTCTAAAAATGGCGCCTGTTGCTTGAAAACGCGTAAAAGATGAGAGTCGCCCAAAATTTAGCTTGTCTTCGCGGAGAAAACTTTTTATGTGAACATACTCATATAAAAGCGTACATCGAACTTTTCTCGCTTCTGTCGCTTGTGCTCGGTTGACAGGCTTTGTACTAGACGAAACAGTTCGTAGCGTTCGGTTTAAAATGAATTGCAAATGTTCAAAAAATTAATTTTGTTATCTATTTTTGTAAATAATTTGCAAATAGGAAAAATATAAATAGTAGAAATATATTAGAAAAGGGTGAAAAGGAAAAAAAACTAGCTAATCCAAAATATTTTTGTGCACCGCGTCCATGTAGAAAGTTTTCCGACTCAATTTGTGTCCCTAGTGTGAATGCAATGAGCGACACCAAAAGAGTATTTGCCGTCCGTGTGTGAACTTGATTGCATACAACAATGGAACATTTATTACTTTGAACACAAAGACGACTGCACGTCAGTGTCGTTGGCTGTGTGTTTAGCATTTATTGGGGCTTAGGTAAAAATAAAGTTGGAACCCTTGGATTCAATTTTGTTTACAGTTAAGCTGATATATGGAGACTGTTGTTAACTTTAACTGCCTTTGATCAAGGACAGCATATCTCCATGCACAGTTTGGTAACTTCCGCGATGATGTGATGAAATAACTACAAGTTGTTCATTCAATTATAATATTTCAATAGCTATAGTCGTCTGCACAGTTATAAAGTAAATAAGCAGTTACCATACTGAAGTAGTATAGTAAAAGCGGCATTTAATACTTTTTGTTTTTTTCCGAAATATGTAATATGGGACATTTAAAATAAAATTCGTGAAACTTTCGTTCAATTTGTTTTGATTGTTTGTTTTATGATTTATCTGGAGTTACAGAAATTTCTGAAAATTAAAAGAGAGAAAATAACCTCAAGTTGTTTGAAAAGTTTGATAAATACTTATTGTTGTATTCTATGACGTCTGTTTAACATCAAGGGATTTGTATTAAAAAAATAAGTTCTTAGAAAAAGCACGATTGGGAAAAAATTATAATTATAAAGGTTGGTATATTCCCTAGAATGTCGATTTGATAAGAAAACAAAGAATAGTGGCATACAAAATTGTGTTGCCAGATGAGTTGGGCTTGACGTGAGGTGTATAGAATATCGCAATATATTGCGAAAGATTAAAAAAAGCTAAACATTTCTTTGCAACCAGGTAAGTAACGTGTCGTTAAGTGAATTAAGTTCTCCAGGTTATAAACTTGATTAAATAGGTTTTGATTGTTAGGCTTCTTTTATCCATTATTTATTTCAAAAACGACCACAAATTTTAAATGGGATTAAAGTCGGACGACTAATACGTCAATCACCCAGGTGAACCTATATCACGCGATTTCAACCACGGCAGTTACCGGGAGTAGGTTCGTATCAGATAACCTGGACATCATACTTGTGCGGGAACCATATGTATACAAAACCGAGGTAGGAGCCATCAATATAAAGGTAATCTGAAGTCTCTTTAGCGAGAAATCAAGAACTGAAAGTAGTCTTACTAAACAGTATTGAATACTTTTCTATTTCAGAGTTTCTAACGCAGGCGTGCAGGCCAAGTATGAAAGCAGAATGGACTTTACCCTGGAGAGTCATCGTTTGCGCCAACCGTGGAACCGTGGTTTACTGCAGGAAAAACAGGCTTCTACTAATTCTAGCGTGCGATGCCAACGCACACCATACAGTATGTGACAGCTTTAACTGCGGCGCACGGGGCGAGTCTCTTTTTGAATATATTTTGAGTAGAAACCTAAATGTAGAAAACGTTGGGTGCATTCCAACTTTTATAACGAGCCTAAGGAAGGAGTAGTTGACATTACCTTGAATAACGACCATGCGTTGAAGGGTGTCGACATAGTCCTTCGTGTCCGATCACTATACCATAAGGTTCGCATTTGGAGTTGAGGTCAAGAACCCCCTCCAGGACATTGCAGCTGCCCGTTGAAAATGATTACCCGTGGCGGACCAAAATACTCTCTATCCTCAGGAAATCGGTTCGTACGTTTTTCAACATTAATTCTAGGAGTTTTCAACAACCTTTAAGTTATTTTTTAAAACCAAATGGCAATTAAAAATGTGGCTCTTTGAGAATTGTCCCAGCGACAAATTGACGAATACAATAAGATTTTTAGTTGTAATATTTTGTAAAACTATACACTTATGTACATACATATTATATAAATGATTATATTTCCTAATCATATTTATTTATTCTTCTTTTAACGATATGTTCACATGAATTTTCAGGGGCATATGCTGTTTTACCCACGCACCATCAGTCAAACTAAAGGTCTGTCTAAGATTAAGATCTCAAAGGGCAAATGCCAGCGGAGAAAATTTACATACGGCGCTATTAAAGCTAATTCTCGTTAAATATTTATTTCCGAAGCCGAGTAAATTGCTTGACAGTTAAGCCGAAGGAAGACAGAAAAGTTGCCCCTATATTTACTTTTCTGCTTGGAAAAGTTACTCTTATTTTAGAATTTTAGTTGTATGACCAAGTTGAGGGATGAATTTTTTGACGTGAGGATTGACAGTTGGAGTCTTAAATAAATTAGATGATTGGCTCCATACGCATAAGACAATAACAAGGGAAGTAAAGCGCACTACGACATCGGATTAAATATCGGCGTGGCGGTCTAAAAATGAAAATAAAAAATTTAATCCAAACAAACGTAAATTTACTTTTATTGATGGAAAAAGACGAATTTCAGTTATTTGCATAAATTTGTAAGGCAAAAATACTCTGCTAGCGGGTCATTTGGTTTACGTTGTTACGAATCGAGATATTCAAAACAATACAAATAGTATAATAACTTTGACCAAATTTATGTATTTAATTTAAAATTTATATTTAGAAATGTTGCCTTAGAATTCAATTTCATTAGTCAACGAAAACATGAATGGATTCCATAACTGATGTCTTTTAGTATTCTTATAGTAATCTTCGTGTAGGCGATATTTATATCAAAATTAAATGAGTCTGTTATATAAACTTGAACAAAGGAGCTAAATATGTATATGAGGTATAAGTTAACCAATGCATCGGAAATAATTATGGTATATTAGAGATATAAGGTTTAGACCAAGGTCTACCATAAGCAACATAATTTTTAAGAAAATTTGTAAACTTAACTTCATTCAAACATTATACATTTTTACTAAATTAAACGGTTTAACATAAGATGAAAACAATTTTAAATTCCATCTAATTCTTTTACTTTACGGTATATATATAAACCAAACACCAATGAAGGCATCGGAATAAAAATTAAAATGTGAATGTATGCCATTGCTTACCCAAATATGGTCGTAATCGTACAATAAATTTTTAAACCCCCAATCTACCGAATATGTGGACCTTGGTACCTATGTGTGACTTTATGCCAAATATATCGATCAGATATGAGAATAAACTAATCGAAACAATAGTTTTCTTATCCCTCATATATCTCATATACAAATTTTCGAACATCCAGTCGTTTATCGGTAAATTTTTTGTTGCCTTTATAAAACTTGAAAAGCGTCTTTTTTTATAAACCTTTGTACTACAAAATGTTGCGAAAGAATTCAACATACTTAACCCACCGAACTCGTTAATGAATTACAACCATATTTTGTCATATTATTAATGTATATCATAGGCCACAGGCTCAGTTTAGCGTGCCCATGGTATATCTATATGTATAATAGTATAATATATGAGAGCTAAAATAATTTTGGTAAGATATTATCATTAAAATAACTAACAAATTATCGTAAATTGTAGATTAGGTATATTGACTGCAACTGCACTTTATTATTGGAAATTATTCTCTCCTCCTAAGAATTAAATATAAATTATTATAACTCACAATTAAGCGATACTTTCGGTAAAAAGTCAGGCTTGGAAAATGATCCGACATTTTTTATTGGTTATATGGTACACCTTAAAGGCATTATTCATGTAAAGTTTTATTTCGATAACCTTATTGGGTCTCGATTTATATACTGTAAAGCAAAAGACATAAAAAACTAATTTTATATTTTGATACATGAAAAGTAGGCCTGGTTGTTGTTCGATTTGGCCCATTTTCACAATGCAACATAAGAATAATGGCATATGCATGAAATAATGTTATGTACCAAATTTGGTTAAAATCGAGCAAGTAGTTCCTGAGATATGGGATTTTACCTTTGTGAGCAGTGTCATTGTCCAATTTTGACGTCGGCCAATCGTCATTCTGATCATTTATACAAGTATATATTATATATAAACCTCTGTATCTATCTTGAATAAGTTTAAATGGTACAAGCAACAGTTATTTTTGTGCACAAAAGCGTTATACTCCGTAGGAACATGTTGCGAGAATATAAAAATATTGAAAATATTTTAGACTTTGGCAAAGTGATAATCATTGTTGTTGTAACGATTACAAGCCCGAAAACAATTTTACACTTCAGCGGATGCTATGTTGTTTGCAGCATGCAAAAACCCGACAAACTTTGCACACCAGGCGGCAATTGTCATAGGAAGCAGCAGTAACAAGCGCCGTAATAAAAAATATAATGGCATCAAAAAAATTTCATAAAAAAGGAAAGAAAAGTCGGTAGCCGCGACAAATATTCAAATTAGAATGTCAATTTAATCTCCGCATCACCGTATTGTGCCTAAACAATAGCGTAATATGAAAAAGGATGAAAAGGGTTGTTTCAGAATCTTCGAGCTGCCTTTGGGTAAACTCGACCTCGTACTCATATAAGACACATTTGTGCAGATGTAAGGATGTATGTTATTTAAAAACACCTATCATTTTGATGGGATAAATCACGAAATTGGTCATATACAACGATTCTTTTTCCTGTGCCGAATCTTGTAAAGCCACATAAGTTAATAAAGATGACAACGACTTCCGATAAACAGTACAAAAATAAAAACTATCCAGAAAGCAACTTTTTTTTTTAACACAAAAATTTCCTGACAAAAAATGGCATAGTCTGGAAAAAATCAAATTCATGTAATAGGATTTCTTTCCATTTACTAAAAATTACACAACCGAAATGTGTAATATATATAATATTATAGGTCGTAGGCTCACTTAGTGTCATTACTATATTTCGCTTCCTGTCTGAATTATTTATACTAAAAGCAACCTTATTAACTCACATAAGAAATAGGTGATATAAACTCAACCAAAGAGGCTAAATTTAATATTATTTATTCGGTATATGAGGAAAAGTATTAAAGATATAAAATTAGACCAACATTAAGACCAATTTCATTCAGATATTCGATGGCCTGTGGAAATATTGAACCGAATTTGGGTACGAGGTGGCTTTGTATATTATAAAGTAAAAGAATTAGAGAAAAGTAGGCGTGGATTTAGCAGTTTTTTTTCCTGTTTTCACACCGTAATATAAGATTGTTACGGCAATATTACGCACCAAATTTGGTTCAAATCGTTCTAGTAGTTCCTGAGGCATTAATTTTCACTTAAAAGTGGGCGGTACTACACCCATTGTCCAATATTAAATCTGAGTCTCACTGCAGCTCTTCCGGCTTATTTAATTACTAAATTATTGCATTTTTAGTCATTTTCAACCTAACCGGTATTTGGAGAGTGCGCGTGGTTATCATCCGATTTCATCCCTTTTCACTCTGTCCGGGAAATGGCTAGAAACGTTTTTTCCCAGTAAGTTTGGTTAATTTAGCTTTAATGGTTTGTGAAGTATGTACTTGAAACCTATTAGGTAGCCGAACCACATCCGGGACGAACAGACAGTTACTTGGAATTGAATTCGACGCGTCATGCTGATCGTTTATACATATGTATATATGTAACTCAATATCTATCTCGATTAATTTTAGGTGTTACAAACAAACGTTAGTTGAACTAAACTATAATATTTAATATGTAGCAACATAGTTTGAACAAAAAATATATATCTGTCGTGTAAATAGAATTCTCCCTTACAATGTCTCTTAATAAATTATTAAGCTCAAGGCTCACTTAATGGCATTATCCTCTGGGTTCTTCGGCCAGGTGATAATTACTTTTACAGATCCGGATGGAATGAATTAAATGTTCAGTGATTATTTTGACAAAAGAATTTAAGCGAACTCATTCTCCCAGCAAATGGCAATGCTTTTTTTCTTACTTTTTGGCTTCCTCACTCCCGTTTACTTCAAATGAAATCAGTTCCTTTTGTTTGTCATCGCCTACTAATAAGTGGGCGTGTCATAAGCTAGAATTGGACGCAGTCGGAACATGGACACGTGTCAGTCGCGCAATGAAGTCAACAACAACAAATCGTGATCAACTATTCAAGAGCAGTAAAACCGCCATTTCAGCCACCAAAGTCGTGGCGATAACCGAGCGATGCTTGCCTAAATCATTTGCGTCAATTTTAACGCTTCCCTTTAATTTCAAATATTCTCAAAGGGCCGCCAGTCTCCTTGAAGCGTATATGCATGCATATATAGTATTCGCTGGCGCACCCACCGCGCCTTAAACGGCACCCTAAAGCGAAGCATTTAAATAAACATACTTTCGCATTTGTGAACTTAACTCAACAACGCTGGCGCGTGTTGCCAATGATTTCTACTCAATCACTTCCGCTTCGGTGCATTTCAACTTCATGACTTTGTTGAAACACAGCTTCTCGTTTAAATCACTTTATAACATAAAACTCTTCGACAAACATTTTGTCACCGTTGTTTTGACTACTTAGCAGCGTGACGTGTAATACTAATCGTTCGCAAATGATGGCATGCAACCCGATGTATGGGCATTGATTGAGAGAATTAAATATACCATTTCTATATAATTTAATAAAAACTCTGAATTCCGAATGCTAGGTTACAAAACCTTGCCATTTTTTCATCGATCAAGCTCTTCTGTTCTCGTTGTCGATAGAAAACAAGAAACACCTTAACTTGAGATGCACCGCAGCAATGAAACCCTTCACAAATACAAGAGATTCTATACAATATCTTTATGGGTTAGTTTGTATGGCAGCCATATGCTATGGTGCTCCAATAGCGGCGATTCCGACAAATGAGCAGCTTCTTGGGGAGTAAAGGACGGGTGCGAATTTCAGATCGATATCTTAAACAATGAGGGACTAGTTCGCGTATACACAGACAGGCGAAAAACTTAATATGCCGTGTTCAGAGTAAGACAAAGAAAGAAGGTCTTAGTTTAGGTGTAATCGAAAATGTTATGTCTCGCAATGTGCACGGCGGGAGAAATGGATTATCACCTAGATAGAGATTTTTAACACAACCAGTATCCATTTTCAGAGAGTATAAGGAGAAGTAAAAAGAACTTGTTGTTATCAAGTTTGAACGATTTAGCTTTAGTGGTGTGTGAGATTATGGTACATATACTTTAAACCTATTAGGTGACAGGACCATGCCCACTTTTTAAGAAGTTCTAAACCACAGATGCCCATTTATACTTTGATGCTCTTATTAACAAAAATTAACAATTTAACGTATATAAGTATCTTCCAAACGATTCGAACTATATGATAAAAATTTCCGCCCGCTCCCCTTATAACGGTTTTGTTAAAAACTACTAAACTGCGATAAATCAATAACGAAATGCGTCAGAAACATTAAATTTTACATCAAGGATCATACAAGAGAGATTTATGAGAGCCGATGTCAAAATTGGACGATGGGCATGGCACCGCCCACATTTAGGTGAAATCACATGTATCCAAACCTACCCCACCAATTTCAAACAAATTTGGTACATAAAATTATTTTGACATTCCCATGTAAAAGTGTGAAAATGGGCGAAATCGTACAGTTACCATGCCTACCTCCCATATAACACAACTTTAAATTCCATCTGATTTTTTCACTTTTCTACAAATCAAGCTCTAATTAATATATCGACATACAAATTTGTACGAATATTTCCTTTAAGGTATACCATCTCATTTCTAAACATTATCGATATCGGACCATAACTATTCAAGCCTCCAGATACCGGAAATATGGCCCCAGAGTCTATGGCTGACTTTTTGCCGAAAATATCGGTCAATCTGTTAGATATACAAGTATAATTGAAATTAGAGAAAATTGTTTTTATAATAATATACCTTTGTATTGGATCAGTATTTCCCTTAGCCCCCATATACCTAATATAAAGATTTTCGAACTTCCAGTTGACTTTAACTACATAAATCGGCCAAGGTGCTAGTTATTTTGATGAAATGTTTTTCGAATAATAGTGTATCTATGTGTCCCAAATAGATAAAAACGAGCGGAAACTTGCCATAGCTCACATATAACTGACACTCACGATTTTGAAACGTCCGGCTGATTTGACTTCATATATATGTTTATATTGTATTTATAAAATTGCTTGAAAATAAGATCTCGAGTATACCTGAGCAATGTCGAAAATGATTGCAATCAGCCCTTCCATTTCTCTGCCCCCAATGATTTTAGTATAATTTTCGCTGATGTTAAGTAAAATAGTAAAGTAATAAAACTTAGTGGGTCTATGACCTTCAAACAAGTTACTAAGATACACAATTTGATTATTACCCAATTCACCATCGTCAAACAATGAAGTTGAACCTTTTCGCTACAATTCTGAATACAAAGTTTTGCCAACATCTGAAGGTATTTTCCCGGCTTTGATCCTTGCAAGTTGCAAGAGAATGAAATATTCGATTACACCCAAACTTAGCCCTTCCTTACTTGTTTTACATAAGTTATTTTAAATACCTATATTGAAAATTTCTTGAGAAATATTGTTGTCAACTTCTACATTCCGTAAATAGACCGGGAGTAGCGTTATGTTGCAATTTGCCTTAACAGTTCGTCAAACTTATCAACTGCACCGTCAGGTGTTTAGGCATGATTGTGAACACACTATGTAACTCGCGTTGTCGGATCATCTAGTATCATCTAGTATATATAAATATATATATACATATTAAATACATTTCAACTGACCGACGAAATCCATCCCTAATGGTTCCTGTATGGTATATTTATGCAAGTAAGTAGCTGTGCGCAATGCACTCATATCCATTCAACTTGGATACATTGCCTATATCATTGCTTCTGTTGATACTTTATTTATTACATATTAATAAATCGCATAATAATGAAGTGACAAACGTTACAAATCAAAACACACGCCACGCGCCGTTGCTACTTTAGCTGTCGCAATCTCTGCTGGTAGCCTTCTGCTCAATGAGCGCCAGCCACCACCACCTCATGCGAGCATACTCCCATATGGACTTCTAAGTTACTTCTACGAATAATCGGTACTACGCTTGTTATGATTTTTTAACGAACGAAGTTTGTCCATCTCATAAATTACAGAGATGATTGCGCGATGACATTAAGCTAGCGGCAGATTTTTGACAGTCAATCCCACCCTTACGCTTCGAGTCCTAAGCGTTAACATTCCGCACATTCGCACATGTTTGAGCCCTATTTTTAAGATGATAATACGAAATGGGTGTGCTTTTGTCAACCGCAACGGAACCAGTCATGATTTTCTTTTTTCAGATCTTTAATGAAATCGTTTCGATAGATGCTGGTAATTACCATTTTTTTCCTAATACACATATACCGAGGCATATGTTCACATGTATTGTACATATATACATATGTAAGCGTGAATGTAAAAAAATGGTAATGCCCCAAACTGACATGTAAGACTTCTAAGTTAAATCATAGCAACATAAAGATTATGCAAGCAGTATCAATATTCTAGATTAAGCTAATTGCCTTCGGTTTTTCGACTGAGTATAACATTTTAGATATATAAAGAAAAACGAATTCTCTTTTATACTTACTTTAGAAACTCACACATAGCATCCCAAGAAACGACTTCTTCTAAGTCTATAGTTTAGTTTTTTACAATATATCAGTATATCGCTGTGAACTCGCTCTTGCTTTTAGCGCTTCACTGACAAATTAAGTGTCTATTATATGATCTTTTTTTCTATATTATAGCAGAATAGAACTAATCAGAGTTTAACAATGTACCTATAGTCTGTTGAGTCACCCCTTTACGCAAAGCTCCAAAACTCTAATAAATTCGTGAATTGTGCTCTCTTCACGATGACTAATTTCTTTTTGGAAAATGCTTGAAAAAATACCTCTACTGACCCTTTATGTTCATGACAACGTCTTAATTCGCCACTGAATTGTAATATCTCTAAGGATACATCTGAACTTAAGGGTCACACCTAGTGTGAAATTTTTAAAAATCGATAACTGAAAAAGTTTTTAAGTTACAGTCATTTATAGGGTAGCCGCTCAGTTCGATCCGGTACACCAGTTCATTTTTAAACGCGTATTTAACCAAACAATATTTTTCGAATTTGTTGCAGGGATAACTCGAAGACAAATAATTAAATCATCATGAAATTCTGTATATTCGACATACAATGACGGAATCGGTTTTTTGATCTGATCAAAATAAAATAGTTGGCTAGCCAAAAGTGACCGAAATTTTGGGCGAATTTCAAAGTTTTTTTAAAAACGCTGCCATTTTCTCAAATTAAAATTTTTTTATCGTAAGTCATTGTACGGAGAATATCTTCTAGTTTAACAAGATTTTTTTATTTTTAGGTTCCATCCACAGAAAAGACCGGAATCACAGCACTGCAGCAGTGGAAGATCTTTTTTAGCGCCATCGGAGATCTCGTATAACTCAAAAACTAATTATTTTTCTACCCCAATGGTGGTTGCAGTTATCCCAGTACGAAGTAGTGCTGTAATAAAATTCGCATTAGCGCTGTACGTATCTGTTGTTGTTGTAACAGCTTTTTTAATGCAGTAGTGCTGAGAAGATGCCGCCAGTTTCGTTGTTTGAAGCTACCACCGAATGGTATGGTTTATGTTCTTCTTTTGGTCTGTCTTCTGTGCTAGTTGTTTAAGCCCCGTCGACTAATCCAATCCCCGTCATGGCCGCCGCTGTTCGTGTTGACGGGCTGTTTTCGCAAAATATCCTTAAAATCTCTTTTTCCAACCAAATATTTTTATTGTAGGATGTTAGATTAGAACTGTAAGCCTCCCAGTCATCCCCAAAAAAGTTGTGGTCAAAAGGTTGTGCACTGATTTCCCGATTATTTTCTGGACCCCATTAGATAGTGGCATTACCGGTTTCGTCTCTTTATTTTAGCCGCATTTGTTAGGAGGTCTTAACCAGGTAGTATGGTGCCTATCGATACACCGATCACTTCTCCAGCAAGATTTTTTTTTGTATGCATCCTTTTCTTGCGACCTGCACGTTTAGTTGGGGGTTGAGGTTTATGTTTTCTAAGAGGAAGTAAAGGTCAGCCCGCCAGAGTCCCATAATGTAGTAAAACCAGCGCAGTATAGTTCGATTGTGCTATGAGCACTGAATACCACAAATTTTTTCAAAAGCTATAGCTTTGGAGCTTCTTAGATCAAAATGGCAAAATATTACCATTAATGTAATAGTAGATCTATCACTCCGGAGCGCAGCCTGTTACAGACAAGTCCCTGGTGGGCTACCAACACTTACGGTCCGAGGTAAATTGTAAGAGGTCTAATGAACTCCGCCTTTCGCCAAATTCACCGGTTTCTAGTTGTAGGGGTTTTAACTCGCCACTGTCTAATTGAGGTTCACCCGGTAAGATTAAACATTTTACATTTTTTACTAATTATGAGTGCAGATGATTATTAAAAATATGACTAATTTTTTCACAAGTTTAAAACCGAATCATGTTAAAATAAACACAAAATATTTTCCGGATCTATCTCGCACTCTAATGATGACGTGATTTTGACAGCTCGTGGCGGCCATGTTTGTTCACGAATTTGTGAATTTTGTCAGTGTGTTTAGTAAGGTTTGCCTTTTCATCATGTCACGTTTCACTTTGATACAATGTTTGGAAATTGTCCAAGATGATTACGCAAATTCACATTCTCCGAAAAATTCACAAATTCACGTTTATCGAAAAATCAACTTCTCAGATTAGACTCACCTCTGGCTTAATGGATTCGTTAACAAACAAAATTATAGCTATTGGGGTGAGTCAAATTTTTCTGTGATTCATGAAACGTAATTGCATCCCCAAAAATTTACCGTTACGATCTCTATTTCCAATCAAAGGTCTAAGCCAATCAACCAGAAATGCTCGTGGAGTTCGAAGACAACATTCAGGGCAAAATAGCCCAAATGCTGCACCGAGACATCAAAAATCGGGATAAACCCATTTTGGCCAAATTTTTGCTTTCATTTCATTTTACTACTTAGTTTATTATCACATCGTTCTTGTTGGTATGGCCTGTATTGACATCTTTCATTAAGCTCATTAAACATAAAAATCGAATATATCAATTTTTGATCCAAAATCACATGCCGAAATAATTTCATTAATATACCTCATAGATTTACCGTTATACGTACATAGCTACGTTAGGAAAGGTATACAGGTTGGTTGAATAGTTCGGAATGAGAAAATGCGCTCGGAATGAGAAAATACTGTTTTTGGTACGAAATATAATTTTTTATTCAATATAATCTCCCTTAACTTCAATACACTTATTCCAATGATCTTCCAATAATTTTATGCCATCCCTATAATGACTTTCCGGAAGCTCTGCAAAACACCCGTCTACAGCTTTAATAGCTTCTTCATTCGACGAAAAACGATTTCCAAGAAGGAATTGTTTCAGGTTTCTGAAGAGGTAGTAGTGGCTGGAAGCCAAATCTGGTGAATATGGTGGATGCTCATGTAATTCGTACTTTAATTCGTCGAATTTTGTCTTAGTTAAAACACCTTTGTGAGCAGATGCATTGATTGCAATTTTTTTCATCCAGTTGATCCAAAAGGCTGCAATAATATTGATTGTTTTACCTTTCTGCAGAGAATCAATCAATCAAATATCTTTTGCATCCCAAAAAACTCTTGCCATAACCTTCTTTCTGATCGTTGTGACTTCACCTGCTTTGGAGCTGAACATCCAGCTTCAGTCCACTGTAAACCAGCTTAAGTCCACCGGTGGCACACTAATTAGCACACTCTTACATATTCCAATAGTACTGCTTAAAAATTGAAGATAACGGTATTTTAGGAAAATATTTTTGTTGTATATTAATAAGTTGTTATGTTGCCGTTATAAATCACGCATTACTGAAAATTTTGGGGTCGGTTTCAAAGAAGTATGCTTTTATTTCATAAAAGCTTTTGATTCAGACTGGCATTTTAATTAGCACACCGTGGCATCAGAAAAGCTTTTCGTATTTCGTTTTTAAGGTTGTGATTTTTCTCTGAGATCAGTTGTAAGTAAAATTCTTAATAGGCATCGTTGTGAGTTATTGAAAATAGGACATTCCAAGAGTTCCAGGGAAGAGCAAAGGCGCCTAATATGGAACAGGACGGGAAAAATATTACTGAAATTGCTCGTTGCATTAGAAGTTCGAGGAAAAAAATTCAAAACGCTCTCAGATAATATGAGAGATTCACTCATTGTTCGGCAAGCGCTTAAAGATCCTTTTGCAACTTTCTCGCAAATATGAGCTACAATGCAGATGGAATATGGCGTAAACATTACCAGCAGGACTGGTAGACATCGGCTTTTAGAAAACAATCTTCAGGGATGCCAATTTCTTTCAAAATTGTATATTTTTTTTACCGAACTGCTTCTAAATATGTTTATTTATTAATAAATGGAAAAAAATTAGTATTCCATGCAACAATATTTAATAAATATATTTTTATTTTTTTCTCAAATTTTAGTTTAATTTTAGTGCACATGGGAGAGTGTGCTAATTAGTGTGCCAACCCTGTATATACGTAGTTAACAAATTAGATTTAGAAAATGTATGTAAGGAAGAACATTCAACAAATATAATCAACAACAACGATATAACGATATATTTATTTTCGATGACACAATGGTTCCAATAATGGGAACAAACCCTTGGATTTTTTCAAAGAGTAAAATTTTTTTACCAATATAGGCTTGAATCACTAGTCACTATGCAATGATTCCTGACAACATTATTTTGTGTTCAATACATTTTTTGTCAATTATTACTAGAATGTTTCAATTGATAGCGTTTTGAATTGCCAACCCAAAACTTATTTTGTGCGGTGATATAAATCGATGGGCTCATCCCTATTAATTCTGCCACCAGTGTGTATTGTCACACAAAAAAGTGATGAAATCGCTACCACATGAAACCAGAGAACGTATATCATGATATACGTTCTCTGCTTCAACATGTTACAATGCCACTGGGGGAAATATGCATTTCACGTCTTTCTTGGTAAGGTTCTCTGCTGGAAGTACAATGTTTCCTAAACTATCAACGAAATTGTTTCCGTAATGTGTTCAACTTGCGTCTATATTCAACTTTCCAGTGGCTTTGCAATATTGTGAATGGATACCAACAATGGTGAGGAAGTGTTGAATTCACCACAATTCTCACCTAGGAACAGTTAAGAAGAATTGCTTAAATTAAAATAAACAGGCAATATAGGTATGCCAGGCGAACACGAATGCCAGAACAAAATAAAATCGAATTATGTGTTTCAATTGCAATTAGAAGAAGAGACTGCGAAAAGAGAAGAAAATTAAGAGGCTCCATGCTTCTCAAAAGTTATGGACATGGACATGTTTTTGGCTGCAATGTCGCAGATATCGACACTGTTTAAAGAGCAAGATGCAAGTAAGAACCAACAAATAGCAGAGATATCATCAAAAATGTTGGTACAACAATCCCAAATGTCCTCGTTAGAAACACGGTCAACGCAGCTGAAAGAGCAGTTCGCAGTTACCTTACAAATAGCAGAAGTAGCCTTGTGTTGGATGAATTATAAGATCGTCTCCGCGAGCTACATTTAAATCAGTCAATTACATCAACAGCATCTGTACAGGTAAAACCTCCCTCCTTTGATTTTACTGTTCCGTTCCATGTTATTAAGCTTCAATTCGAAAAGACGATATCTTCAAATAATTAGAACGTTGAAGACAAAGTAGCTGCATTATTCGTTGCATTAAAGGTTTTGCAGAGGAGATATTACAAGCAATTCCAAATTGTGAGTTTTGTAGTTATGAAAGTAGTGAGCACAGGAAACAGATCATCCAAACCGAGTTGGAAAATCGTTGCCAGAAAGCCAATGAGTCTCTGCAGGAGTTTTCTACAGAGATATAGAGGTTTGCTTACTTAAATTATGCACATAAGGCCGTGGAGTGTATCCAGGACACGAAAATTCAGATCTTTGTTAATGAAATACGAGAGGGCCCTACACGCTTTGCTACGTTAGCATGTCCAAAATTGACGTTTGCGAAATCCGGAGGAAACTGCATCCCTGCTTAGCAATCAAACATTCGAAGCTCACCAATTAATAATTAAGTTGGACGAAAACGCAAAGCTGAGGAAGATCAAGCAAATGTCAAACCGTCTATGTCTGATCACTCCTGGATACTTTTTAGCATACATCTCAAATAGCAAAACCCTATAAGAAAAGCATGGGATAAATTTACTCTGATATCTACAAAAGGCTTAGAAATAAGCAGGAATAATAATATAATCAGAAATACTCTAGAATTAGACACAGAGGTGCAGAAGTTTGAAAAATATTTTAACTGCCTTTTTCAGGAAATGGAAGCTTCCTTCTTGGTGGAACAGTGATCTAAAGAATATAATAAAAGCACAACTACGTAAAGCTTTCTATGAAAGTTATATAACCAAAATTTGACAGCCATATAAAGATATAATGAAGCAATACAAAAAGCAATCAGGAAAGCCAAGGCAGACTCATGGCAGGCCTTCTGCACATCAATAGGAAGCTGCAAAAAATCTGCCAAGCTGGGCAAAATACTGTCCAAAGACAGGAGGAATGCCTATGAATCTCCTCTGAGTCGCTTGAGGTTCTTATGAACACGCATTTCCTATTAAAAGCTTCTTACCATATAAAGCGGCGGGTCCGGATAAGATCATTCCCTTAATGCTGCAGAAGCTAAAGTAACCAATGGTTCCAATGCTTGAAAGGATCTTATATTCCAAGAAGCTGGAAAAGAGTCAAGGCCGCAAACAACAGACTAGGGGTCAAACCTAGTAAGACAGAACTATTGCTATTCACTTATTAAACCAAGATACTTCAATTTCATCGTCCAATACTCGATGGTCTACAATTTCTCTCTCCCACACGGCGAAGTACCTAGGGATCGAGATTGATACCAAACTGAGATGGAAGATAAGTATAGAGAAACGTACTAAACAGGAGTATATGTAATACACGTGCTAGATAATAATCAGCAGGAACTGGGCCCTAAAATCGAATATAGTCATGTGGATGTATATGACTATCATTTGACCAATTCTTACATATAAAGCACTGGTCTGGTGGCCAGCATTAAAGAAAGAATATCATATCAAAAAATTAAATGGGACACCATTAAAATTAAAATGGGCCATTAAGTCATGTCCTTCAACTGTCCATAGATGTTTTCATACAAAAAGTAGCAACATTATCTGCTTTAAGAACCAAGGAGTCTAAAAGCTGGAAAATTAAAAGTTATGGACATAGCGATATACTGAATCAGCTCGAAATAAATTTAATTATATCAGACTTAGTATACAGTCAAGGTTGAATTTCAATAGTAGGAGGAGAATACTACCTCAATCTACACCGACGTGTCCGAAATGGACTGCGGAGTATGGACGGGGGTATACTCCAAGAATCTTAATATCAAGCGGAAGTACTGGGCATAGAGACGACCTGTGGAGTTCTACTGAATAACTACGGGAATATACAGAGAGCT